GCAATGCCACTTTCGGATCACCAAAGCCGTACATGGCCGAGGTAAAACCGGCCGACGATTCTCGCTGCGTCTTGACTTGGTAGGCTATTAGCCTCTCAGTCCATTGCATTTTTTTGTTCTTTTTTTAAGGTTCGCCTGAATATCAGGTCGCAAACCATATGATCATGCTTGGATTTATTTTTGACTAATCAGATTCCGAATGTATGTACCTATCAGTAATAATCTGCATTTTACGTTTCTGGTGAAAAGGTAGTCCGAAGTTCGGGCCGCCTGCCTACAACAGTTCACTCGTAAACGCATTCGCTTTTCACTCTGATTGCATTTTCACCCGCTTAGCATGCCAACTTGCAAATAACACATCACCATTCTTCTTATTGACATTTCCGCATTCGTATCGCTTCCTATGTGCACTTACTCTCAACAGTTTGTCCATTATTGGCACGAAGGCAGCCGATGTCTTGGCCGCCCATCTCTGCAGCAGTTCGTGCATGAGCGTGTTTAATTCCCGCGCCGACTTCATTGAAATAGCTAACCGCAGAAGCCTGCAAAGCACATAACAATATTCGACGTCGAATCCCATGCAGCTGGCCTGCTGACCTCATCAGCCTGTCGCTAACAGTCTGCTCACTATCGATACAAAGATGTCGATGTTGTGGCCGTCCTATTTTGTATAATTCTTGCGCGTACGCATTCCACTTTCATGCCATTCCGTTATCAGCGCCTTCATTATCTATACGAATATTTCCGATGTTCCGGATGTCTGACGTAAACAAGTGACGTCACTGCCGTGCATACAGCGGATGGCAACCTGACTTATGGTAAAGCCCATGCACAGCAGTCCTCCGGGGAGCGCCATCGGCTGGCAACTTAAATCGCTCATCGGCTGACGCGATCTTGTGTGTTCAGGCCACCACTAGACTGCGCAGTGATAACTGCGCCTGGACGCCCTGCAGCTTGGTGGCAGCTTACGGCGTTCCAAGAAAAAACACTTAGTCGCGCACAAATAGCGCGACAGTGAGCAGTTCACAGCGCTATTCGCTGTTCGCCATATTTGCCTAGCGCCCTTTCATACGGCTATCAGCTGTCAGCACAACACACTTATTCGATTACGACATTCATTTCATTCAGTCTACCTCCGTCCTTCCAAAGGGCAGCACGCTCAACGCTGGCGGCCGGCTGCAGCAGCGACTCACAAAGGCTAGGGCGTCCATTGTAAAATGGTTACAGTCGCGCGTGGCGCGGAGACCACATGCATGCGATGTCATTGTGGGAGCACTACGGGCCGGTCATATAAATAGCTCTTCGGAGGACATGAACTGTTTTGCATTGCTGCATGCGGCCAGCCAGGCTGTAAAGTCATAGCAAGCATGACGTGGACGCCGCAAACACTGATGATCGTGCGCGAAGAGTGAGACTCTGTGCATTCCGCAGCGCTGCTTTAGGGATATCAGCGTCAGGTACAGCCCTCTTGTCTGATTACGGCACGCATCTTATTTGTTCGATCTCCCGCCAGCGTCTCACCCAAAGCTGGCGCGCAGAGAGGGTTTTCAAGGATATGACATCTATTTTAAAGTTTGTGTAAGCTGTGCGCAGCGAGAGTGAGCATGGGCACACGATGTCTCTGTGGGAACTCGATCAGCCGGAATTGTATTTCGCTCATCGGCCAACGCGACACTTTTTGTTCAATCCCCTCTCGCCATTAACGGCGCAATGTTCACTGCAGTGTGCCGGCCTGTGGTGTTATGGCTAGCAAAAGGCGGACCGGAAAAATTGTACCACGCGCAAAACGCTGGAATGCGTACGTCAGATGCCGCAGCTGTATAGTTATTGCCTGCCATTACAATGCACTTGTCTGATTAAGACATCCATTTGATTCGGTCGACGGCTCTTGATGGCGCCTTATTCCAAGTGAGCGAGACGATCGTTATAAGTTTGTAAATCGCACCAGCGAGTTGCACAGTTTCAGCGTCAAATTAAAAGTGCATTTAGACGTGCACGTTAGGCACGGCCATGTGACTACGGTGTTGTAATGGGAGCACTATCGGCTAAAAATGCAAATCGCTTGATCAACTGCGTGACGTTTTTTGTCCAAATCACCCCATGTGCGGAGCGACGTCAACTGCGGCTGGCCGGCTCGTAACGTCTTGGGAAACAAACGGCGGCGCGCCAAAAATGCTCATAAATACGCGAGAAAAGTGTGACTTTGTGCATTCAATAGCGGTTTTATAGGGCTACCAGCCGCCAGTACAATACGCTTGTACGATTAGGGCACTCGTTTTGTTTATTTGACCCCACGGCAGCGTCTCGCTCAAGGTTGGGTCGTGTCTGAGCTGCGATTTGCAAAGTCAAGGCGTCCAAAACATAATTATTTTATTCGTGCGCGGTGGGTACGACCACGTGCCCTTGATGCCAGTGTGGGAGAATTATCGGCCAGCAATGTAAATGGCTCATCGCCCAACATGACCTTGTTGTTCAAATCACATCTTGATGGCATATTGCTAACTGAATCTGGCCCGTCCGTAGCGAGATGCCCAGCACGGAGCGACCCGGGAAAAGTCGTAAGTCTCGCGCTATGAATTCGACGGCGAGTATTCGATAGGTCTACTTTAGGGTTGTCAGCTGCCAGCACAACACACGTATCCAACAGGGGTTTATACTTTTAACTCATCGTTTTTATTTGTTCGACCCCACGACAGCGGCTCGCTCAACGTTCACGAGGGTACGGTGGTTTTCAAACATACGGCGGCCGATTTGAAATGTTTTTAGTCGTGCGCACGCCGCGGGTGGCGTCATGCGCACACGATGTCCTTCTCAGAGCACTATCAACCGGCAATGTAAATCACTTATCGATCGCCATTACATTTTGCTTCGAAATCAAACAGTGTATCATATCTTACTCTCCTCATTCTCGGCAGTCCAGCATCATTGACGGAAGCCTCATGCCTTCAACTTGATTTTGCGGGACACATATTAAGCCTCTTACTCTCCGTGGAGCTACCGGGGGCTACTTTTGAAAGGACCTTTTCCTGGGAGATGCACATATCCTATGTTGTCAAAGTGCAACTCCATCGTTTTCTGCTTGCATAGAATCTGCCACCATCTTACGCCCAATGTTCGTAAACCCCTAATGCCGTCCCACATTTTTCCCATCTTCTGTACTACCCCCGGTCTGGTTTATGGCTGCAGCGTGTCACCTAAACGGGGCGCGCGGAGTGATAATTCTTTGGGGCCAGGGCCGACAGTGAAGCTCGTCGGGGAGAAACGATGGCGGCGACTTTTCAAGGGCTGGACTGGCGCTGTGTTAGTCACCTTATCACCCACCGTGACAGCTTCGCTGCTTTCAGGATCCCTAATGATTCGCGGGCTCCGGTGGCGGTCCGGTCCATTCAACCCACGTACCGCTGCATGCCAGCGACCCACCCGGGCGGCAGCAGCGGGCGCCCTCTGTCTGCCAGCTATCCGCCTGTCGGTGGTACGCAGGGCCTGTTCATCTTGCGCGACCTCAGCCCAGAGCCACCTGCCGCCGACCATCATCGCCTCTCGCATCCGCATGGAGCTTACGTACCTAAGACCTTACTCTGCGTACAGAAATGGAGAGTTGTGCACCACCCATAGTGCATAGTCTAAATAAATATCATACGGGTGCTTCATATGGTGACGGTGTAGAGCTATCAATGTTGCTGTGTTTGTCCAGGATAAGGTCTGGCTCATTCTTCCGCAAGGTTCATGCCATCTCCGCCCATCTGGATCAGTATGACGATGTATGTCAGGACGAAGCCCAAAATCTGAAAAGCGAAAATGGCATGATGTGACAATGTCGTCATGGAAGCAACGTTGTTTGGCGGCAACGCCGTCAACATTGGCTGCGATATCTGGAGAAAAGAGCTGCGTGTTGAAGAGCTAGAGGAGGGAAAATGCGTATAGAGGAGCTAGAGGAGAGGAGCTAGGTAAAGAGAAGTTAGAGGAAAGAAGCTAAACGTGCCTCTGTTTCTTCAAACGTTCGGGCGAGCTTCGGTAACATCACATCCATATCAAGGGCTCGTTGGGATGATGTCGGGTAACATGTTTTGGTTGCGAAGCAATATGAAAATTTGCTGTTTATTTAATAGTTCTGGTTGATAATGACGGTGGTCAAAAGGGCAATAGCATGTCGTACGATAACGGATAATAAATGTACTTGGATGCAATAGCCTAAGCATCAAAACGAATAGTTTAGTATGATCAGTGTGTATTTGGAAGTATTCACTGCCCACAAAATCCATTGGTGCCTGAGGCATGTTTACTTCTATTGGAAAAATCAGGGCATCACAATCGTTATAAAAAACATAAAGTTTTGTCAGCTCAGTCCTGCACGACTTGGCGACAGATGTGTACAAGTGCAAAAGAGAATATGTGAACGTGCAAAATAAGTATATCGGTATTTACCTTTCGGTTTTTTAGTCGTGAGCGCCATGTGACAACATTTCCTTGGATGACACTGTACATGTCGAACACGTGCCACTTAAAGGAGTTGGCTTAGCAAATGCCGCGTTTTTAGTTAAATGCTTAGGCATTGAAGGCATGCTTTCTTGGCTCTACATGCATCTTTTTCCAGGAGATTTTCTTCATGCCTAATAATTTTGCAAAGTTTCGTCATAACCACGGGCCGTATAAAAAGTGAGAGCACGCAGGACGGGAGGAGGTGCTTCCACTTTGACAGTGTTTTGGTCCACAGGGTTACGAGCGGAGATAAAGTAATGGTCGCACTATTTGTACGCTCGGAATTTGATGGAATTAACAGCTCATCACCGAAATGCCCGCGTCTAAGAAAAGTAAAGCTAAAACGACATCATGATGGAAGCGAGTCCTCTAACACGCAGAAACAACACACACTGAGATTCACACGACTCCCATCTCACCGAAAGGATGTTTGAATTCTGGACGATGAAAAAACCCATCACTTCGACACCGAATGGACGTTTAGCCTTTTGTAAGAGCACCTTCCGTCTCTTTTTAGTTTCCTGCGTCATTACTAGCCAATTCATATCCATCAGTGAGTCCGTTAGTGCAGCGTTCTGAAACAGAGGGAATACAAACCACCTTACAATGTGCAAATTTGACGATTGTTTCAAGGGTTCTGTGCGGGAGTCTTGCATGTACAGAAAATGAAAGCAAGACAGGGGAGCAACTGAAGACGAAAACTAGAAAAGAAAAATAGCTGAAAGAAGGAGATGAACGGGAGAACACCGACGGAAAAGGCAAAAGAGAGAGGGAGAGAGAGAGAGAGAGTAAGAGAGAGAGAGGGAGAGAGGGAAAGAGAGAGAGAGTAAGAGAGAGAGAGGGAGGGAGAAAGAGAGGGAGAGAGAGAGAGAGAGAGAGAGGGGGAGGCACAATAGCGTTTTAATGGCACGCAACATTTACTTTGGAACCATAGATGACGGCCCAAGATGATTTTTCGTTCTGCAAACCAATCATGCTGAAACATTCTAAATACACATTTACCCCAATCCATGGTTGAGCTCACCTTTTCGATCATGAAGGTGCCGTCCATAGACATCCAAACGATGCGGAAAAGGAAGAGGCTTACATAGGTGCAGGGACCCACCACCTTCGCCAGCTTGCCCTCTGATGGTGGGCCGTTCGCTGCCTGCCGAAATACCGTGACGAGCCGGCCGTCATCAACAGACTCGGGGCATGACGAGCTGACAGAGACGCTTCAACGGCGCACAGTTGCAAGTCTCCAGAGTCCTGAGCAGGTAATTTACCTAAATTGAAAAGTCACGAAGGAATTGAACCACCCTTTGTTTATTTACGTTCCAGTATGAACGTGCTAATGGTGATTGGCACTAATATTGACCTTGCTAATGGAGGCAGCCATTCACCGCGATGCTACGCATGCTTTGGAGGTGCTAGCTGATGACTATTGGACGGGCATGTAAAGTGCAGTAACTCATACGTAGCCTGGCGTGCTGATGTCATTCAAGTGGGGCTTACAGCGATCATGTAATATGAAGAGAGAAGAATAGCCGACATAGCAGCGGCGTGTGCAAAGAGTAACGGCACCCTGCTGATGCTGCTCATGATGGCGACAAGCCTGAAAAATGGAGTGCTGCATGAATGGCAGATCGACAGATCAGATCACAGGTCGACTAGCGTCTTAAATGCATTATCAAAAATCACAAAACACGCCTGAAAATGCTAAAACCAGTCCTTGTCGCCAGATGGCACAAGCTCCGCTGAGGTTCTCGATGCTCCACAGAGCCTCTCACCTGCAGACGCGCGCGTAGTGCTGGGCGGCGGCGATTAGCGGCTCCACCACGGCGCCGTCTGGAGTCGATCCGTCTGGCTGGCGAGACAGCAGCGGCCAGCGCGGTGTCCCCGGCACACTCCTCTCAGGCGTCACCTCCCACGCGTCGTGGACCCAGTGCCGCTCTGGCGGCCGGCTCTTGGTCGTCTCCGGCGTCGGTCCGTCCGTGTGGTCTCCCGACAACGGCCTGTCGCCCGCCGTCATCAGGCTGCTTGATGCCCGGACTGCTGCCGTCTTCACAGGCGCCTCCGCCACGCGCACAGCCTGGGCGCTGATGTCCACCAGCGTCCTGACGGTGGTCAGATGAAAGCTGACTGCGTTCATCCAGGTGAAGCAGCAAGTCTCGAACGTCATCACCAGACAACAGGAGAAAATCACCAGCACCATCTGCAACACGACGACAGCGGGCACAGTTAGGGGCACCTTATCGAGACATGACCGACATGGCTTAAGTCTTGTATGGGACGGTCCTACCACCACGAAGGTAAAAATAAACCAAAACCCATAACCCAGATAATGTGACGTCCTCGTGTATCAGATTTTGTTATAACTTCTTACGTAGCCTTATCTGGTTATCCAAATTCACCTTCAACATCGTTGCAATGAAGGGTTGTTATGAGCGGAATGTACGTGCCAAAGTTTATAGTATACGAACGGTAACATCCACGACAAAAACAGACCTCGTGACCTCGTAAGCTCCAGTCATTTGACCGGCATTGGTCTGATCGTCGTGAAATGTATGAATGAGGGTGTGAGTCTTTGAAAACCCTATATATATTGTCTATAAGCTTTAAGCGCATGCTGTTTTGACGCTGTTTATAACTTTTGTTTGTATTTTCAGTTACAGTTCCAACAGTGCACGAACCGTATTTCACGATGACCAGGGATCGGGTCGAAACCGACTACAATAATTCGTTTTTTATTCAAGTAATTCATTCTAGAGTTCTTTCTGCTCATTCGTAATATAAGCCTAGGGTAACAACAGCTAAAAATGCAGAACCTGTTAAAATTCAAACTATAGGAGGAATTGTGGAGGTTCCGCTCTGCTTAAGTAAATGGACCTAAGCGAGCTTTTTTAATATTAAAACAAATCACTGTCTGCGGAAGATTTGCGATGAGTATGTTGGAGTTGATATTTGGAGTAAATAAGCAAGAATCCACACCATGTTTTACGTCTGCACATGAACATCTACTTACGGTTACACGTGTCTTGTTTTTGTGGAGCTTTTTTACAGAAGACAAAGACGGGCCTCTGATATACACTATTGGGGATTATTTGGTCACGGTGGCACCAGGTCGATTAGCTCGACACAATTAGCTCGAAATAGGTCATTATAGCAAGATTACTTACCATCATACATATTGTAGACTGAGTAAAGCGCAATGGGCGTTCATGAACATTGCATATATAATGGCAATCAATGCGTTTCAACGTTCCTGACATTCCAGGAGTAGCGTAATGAACGAAACTCTCATATTCCCAGTTGGGTGCTCTGAGTGACTCGCATTGTCCATCTTGCTGCAGAGGGTGACGCGCCATAGGATGTCGCCGTGCCTCTGGATCGGGTAAGCCCGTGTTTTGTATCGCTGCGGAGTGTGGTGCACCAGATCATACTCCCCAGCCTTCATGAGAATAGCGTGTAGCAGCGCTGGCATTGCTGTGCGGGCCCATTTAAGCAGCACGAAAGCACAACTATTACGAATCTTTGGGGTTGCTTCAATAGTCTTTATTGATAAATTGACCACCCCCGACCCCACAGCTCATTAAACGATACTTTTCTATGCCCAGCTTGTCGATTTGCGTTTCCAAAGGCACCAGGGAGCATGCCTCATGAATCTGGGAGATGCGTGTCAGTAAATGTGAACACGTCACGCGAGTCGTCTCATGCTACTTCGGTTCCGGTCAACATGAGCACAGCCTTATTCCAAAAGCTCTTAGAGCTCTAGTGAAACTCTGATGCGTTCAGTTCAGTAAAATACCAGAAAGCATATTCCTAGTGGAGACCACAACATGCAGGTATTATTGGAACATGCAGCGGGTGTATACACCACTGTGATGTATCTCATGGTTGAGTATCTAGGAGTCAAAGATCTGACCTATAGACATGCCATCGATTACGCTGTTTGTGACAGTGACCGGGAGGAAGGTGTGACGTGTAAGTGCCACCTGTGCGCAGTGAAGCGCAGCCTCCTGCTGCGTGTCAAGTAGGGAATTTGGCCCCCATTTCTCTGCCCCCTGCAATCAAGCTTTGCGTGTTATAGGATTAGCCAGCCACCCAGTCAATGCTACCCGTCCCCCCTCCTTCAAGAACTCAGACGAGGCCCGGCGAAAAAGCAGCTTCTTTCGTTTTAACAAACCATTCAGGAGAATGACGCTGATGGTCTGGTCCTGATGTTCGGTATAAGAATTGGGTTAGTATCGATCGGTAGAACTCGGTGCAAGTCCAGACTTCTCTCGGATACCAGCAGGAGGATCTCAACACATTGATCACGAGACTTGCGCCGGCACTAAACTCAATGCTTCCATGGTTCAAAAATGTAGCAGCTTACAAGTAGCAGCGTAGCTCAAAAAACCACCTCAGCTTTAACACTAGCTAGCATGGATGCGAGTTCAGGATTTTTGACGAGTGGCGCCTGTTCGGCGAGTGTTACGGTTTACAATATGTGGATACGTGGGTTCGTACGTTGCGCATATTCAGATGGCCTGAACCTGTGAACGTTTGCAAATTTTCCAGCAATAATAGGATGTGGTGTGGGAAAAACATCGTCATTTATTTGCGAATATTTACAATGAACGCAAAGTGGCGTTTATGATTAAGTGCCCAAAAACTCAGATCGTTGCCAATACTTGCGTTATTTTTCCTGGCAGCCAACTTGAGAAAGTCGGGATGAAAAATCGCCTCACGCTTTGATTACATGGCTTTTATGGTCTGCGGTAAAGTAATGGGCTCTGTATTTTAGAGAGCTTTGTTCCAAGTAGAGAGACGGCATCGTTTTGCTCCCGTACAGCTCCTGTGCCGTCCGAAATATCCTATTTAGCTTCATTGCCTACTCTTCAATGTCAAAACGTTGCCTACCAGAACTCGAATGTGATGCATATCCGACAGGGTGTTGGGTATTGCCTGACTGCGCTGAAGTTTCGAAGAACGGCGCCGAACCAGCGGGCACGAGGGGCCTTGCAGCTGCCAGCACATAACCTGGTAGGCGATGGCGATCCAGTACTGGGGTCTGAAGTGTAGCGCCTCGGGCACGAACATGGCGACCACGTAGTACGGGTGGCGAAACCGTCCAGGCACCAGCAGGAAGCAGAACCAAAGCGCAATCGAGGCGATGGTCAGAAGCCAGAGAAGGATGTATCTGCCGACCAGGCGCCGTCTCCAAGACGCGTCGGGGCCGACAGAGCGCCGCTCCAGTGCTGCCAACTCTTCATGAAGTTCGTGCAAACTGGCAGAACAAACCAACTGTTCGACAAGTTTGGCTTCGTGTCTCACAAAATTCATACTGGTCATGGATTACAAAGAGTTGCGATGGAACAATATACCAATGCGGTGGCATGCATAACACCTTTTCAATGGTCAGGGTTCTTCTGTCGCAGAATCCATACCAAGTTATATCTATATCAAGTTCTGTATTCCAATGTGTTGCCTGTTTTTTAAATACTGCCATATCAAAGATTTGAAGCAGACGACTGAAGCTTGAGTAAAAACTATTCATTAAGTTCTTTTGGTCTTACACATACGCTACGCGCGCCAACCATCGCTATCTAAGCCACAAATACGACAGAAGGCGATGGGTCGCTGACCAATGATTGCCAGTTCCACTGGTGTCTAGTATGCACCTTATCAATCTTATTATCAGGGAGCTAGAATCGATTTTGAACTAGGGTGGGAGCGAAAAATTCCGTTGCGAAAAGACCGTGCAGGAATGAGAGAATCATTTCACAAAAGATGGAACTTATGATCTCGTGACTGATGCTTCAGCAAATACATCTATTTCAAGTTGGCATGGACGTAATATCAGAAGCCTCACAACACTTTTTGTTTTCTAACATCTTGGGCCATTTAAATGAAACAGAATACATTAAAGGATCGTAAGTTCATGACAATGTGATAGGCATACAAAATTATTAACACTTATAATTTGATGCTGCACTTTGCACTTCCCTCCACAGCACTTTTAACACAAAACAAAACAAAGGAATTCAATAACAAAATAACACAAAACAATTCGGCAAGCATAAAACACTCAAACAAAAAACAACGACAAAAAAACCTTGGACTCCTACCTATCAGCCCATCACCAAGTCAAACACAGTAGACATGCCTCTGGCTTTTGTTAAGATAGGGTCAGGGAAAACAAACATTTTTTCACTGTTTCTGCGAAATATCTATGCTTATTGCCATGAAAGTAGCCTAACTATGCCTAACCTAAAGAGGCATTACTTCATCTTATCCTGTCCAACCTGTTTGTATCACAGCAGCAGTTGTGAGTTAGTAATTCTTGCACAGTTCATATTGCCACTTGCCATGCACTTAACCAACTTAACCTAACTTAGAGTAGCCCATATGTTGAACACCATCTCAACTGACCTGTCAGCGACAGCAGTTGTAATAAAGCATGATAAGGCTAGTTTTAGGCTGGTTTCAAGTTGCATTTTTATTCAGTTCATTTGTTTATGCTTGTTGACATCAGAAAAAGTTGACCTATGTCAAGGGCAATAATGGGTATGCTCCACAAAACAATCTCTCTTCTCCAAAAATAACATAACTTTTAGATGACCATACCAGTATTGCTGCTTGTCTTTTCATCTGCAGCAAATACATTTATTTAGGCCTGGTTATTCATATTTAATGACAAAGTTTGGAATGTTGGCTTCACATTTTAAATGGGTTGGTCTGACAATTTGTTACATGGCAATATTTAGCTCCTATCATGATTGCTATGGAGCTTAGAGTATCCCTGTGTTAAAAATATAGTTCAGTTATACAATACAGCCGTTTGCCAGTGAGCAAACCATGACAACTATAGAAAACATCTAATTAAAGCATCCATGAGGGAACACCTTAAGTAATTTGGGGCAAATGATCACGAATATGGAACAAAATAAGCCCATTGCATGCCCTGTGACATCATAATT